ACCCCCCACGGGTGACCCCCCACCCACGGGTGACCCCCCACCCACGGGTGACCCTCCAGGTGACCCCCCAGGCCCCACCTGGAGCTCCAGCTCCGCCACCCGGACCTGGAGACTGAGCAGGGAATAACCGGGATGGGCCGGGAATGCTGGGAATGCTGCGGGATCCCTTGGGAATGGCTGGGATGGGAGAGATCCTGGATCCTGGAATGGCTGGGATGGGAATGCTCCTGGATCCCTCTGGAATGGCTGGGATGGGAATGCTCCTGGATCCCTCTGGAATGGCTGGGATGGGAATGCTCTGGGATCCTGGAGTGGCTGGGTTGGCAAAGATCCTGGATCCCTCTGGAATGGCAGAGCCTCTGGATCCCTCTGGAATGGCTGGGCTGGGATAGATCCTGGATCCTTCTGAAATGGCTGAGATCCTGGATCCCTCTGGAATGGCTGAGATCCTGGATCCCTCTGGAATGGCTGAGATCCTGGATTCCTCTGGAATGGCTGGGCTGGGATAGATCCTGGATCCCCATGGAATGGCTGAGATCCTGGATCCCTCTGGGATGGCAGAGCCCCTGGATCCCTCTGGAATGGTTGGGCTGGCAGGGATCCTGGATCCCTCTGGAATGGCTGGGCTGGGATAGATCCTGGATCCCTCTGGAATGGCTGAGATCCTGGATCCCCCTGGAATGGCTGGGCTGGGATAGATCCTGGATCCCCCTGGAATGGCAGGGATCCTGGATCCCCCTGGAATGGCTGGGCTGGGATAGATCCTGGATCCCCCTGGAATGGCAGGGATCCTGGATCCCCCTGGAATGGCTGGGCTGGGATAGATCCTGGATCCCCCTGGAATGGCAGGGATCCTGGATCCCTCTGGAATGGCTGGGCTGGCAGGGATCCTGGATCCCTCTGGAATGGCTGGGCTGGCGGAACAGTGTCCTGGGAAGGGCATTCCCTGTTTTCCTGGGAATGCAGCCCCAGCCCCTCCCCCTGCCCTTTTCCCAGGATCCCAGAGGGTCGGGAATGTCTCTCCCGGGCCTTGGCCTGGGCCCTTTTCCGGGCCAGGGCCGAGCTCAGCCAGTTCTGATCCCGCGGCTCCGATCCCGGCAAATCCTCAGCCTTGGATCCCAATCCCTGGAGATCCTCAGTCCTGGATCCCAATCCTGGGAAATCCTCGGCCTTGGATCCCAATCCTGGGAAATCCTCAGCCTTGGATCCCAATCCCAGGAAATCCTTGTCCTTCATTCCCAATCCTTGGAATTCCTTGTCTTTGGCTCCCAGTCCTGGGAATTCCTCATTCCTGGCTCCCAGTCCTGGGAGATCCTTGTCCTTGAGTCCCAATCCTGGGAATTCCTCATTCCTGGATCCTAATCCTGGGAGATCCTCGTCCCTGGCTCCCAATCCCGGGAATTCCTCGTCCCTGGCTCCCAATCCCGGGAATTCCTCGTCCTTCAGGCCCAGCCAGGCGGCCCCGGCCCCTCCCCCCCTCAGGGTGGGCTTTGGGGACCCCCTCGGGAAGAGGCCGATCCCGCCGGGAATCCTGTGGGAAACGGGGGGGGTGAGGGGGGAGGGACACGGGAATACTGGGAGAGTGGGATGGTGGGAGAGTGGGAGAGTGGGACATTGGGATATTGGGAACACCGGGGGGTCCCCCCCTACCTGAGCCCCCTCCTCCGGCCCCGCCGCCCCTCGGAGGCCACGGAGGGCTCGTAGGATCCCAAGGGAAAATCCGGCTCTTCCCACGGCCCTGTCCGGGAAAAGCACCTCGTCAGAGCCTGGAAAAGGGCCTGGAAAAGAGCCTGGAAAAGGGCCTGGAAAAGCACTGGCCTGGGAATTCCCACAGGGATTGGGCCTCGGGAACAGCTTCCCCCTGCTCCTCCTTCCTGGGAATTCCCAATGGGATTGGGCCTCGGGAAACAGCCCCGCCCTGCTCTTCCCATGGAATTCCCACCTGGAATGTGCCCCTGGAAAGCCCTTCCTTGCCCCCTCCCCCCCAGGGCGGTTCCCACCTGGCTGCTCCGGATCCGTGGGATTCATCCCGGATTCTCCCTTGGGATCCATCCCAGGTTCCTCCTTGGGATCCATCCCGGATTTCCCCTTGGGATCCATCCCAGATTTCCCCTTGGGATCCATCCCAGGTTCCTCCTTCTCCAGCTGCTCCAGGATTTTGCCTCTTCCCCTCCGGAGCTGCGGGCTGGGAACATCGGGAATGGCGGGACATGGGGGGGGAAAGGAGGGGGAGGGGGCACAGGGGGACAGGGGGGGACATGGGGGGGACACAGAGGGGAACAAGGGGGGCACGGGCCACCCCCTGTCCCCTCCCTGTCCCCTCCCTGTCCCCTCACCTGTCCCCTCCCTGTCCCCTCCCTGTCCCCTCCCTGTCCCCTCACCTGTCCGACATTCCCGAGGCTTTCCCGGCTCCTCCCAGGGAATCCACCAGGTCGGTGACGTCACCCCCGGGGGGGGCACCTGGGGGGGGGGGAGGGGCACTTTGGGGACATCCCATGGGAATCACTCCCTTTGGAATCTGATCCCATGGGAATCACTCCCTTTGGAATCTGATCCCATGGGAATCACTCCCTTTGGAATGGGGACTCTGATCCCATGGGAATCACTGCCCTTTGGAATATCAGATCCCATGGGAATCAGATTCCAAAGGAATCAGATCCCATGGGATCTGTTCCAGGGGAAAGGCCCAGTGGAATTCCCGGTACCTTCCCGGGGATCCAGCGGCTTCCTGAGGCTTTTCCCTGTCCCAGCTCCCGCCAACCTGGGCCTGGATCGGGAGATTCCCAGGATTTCCGCATCCAGGTCATCCAGGTCCTGGGGAGAGAGAGCCCCAGGGGGGGAATTCCGACCCAAACTCGGGAATTCTGCCCCAAATGCTGGGAATTCTGCCCCCAAACTTTGGAAATTCTGCCCCAAACGTCAGGAATTCTGTCCCAAACGTTGGGAATTCTGCCTTGACCTGTCCATAAAATGTTGGGAATTCTGCCCCCCAAAAGGTCAGGAATTGTGTCCCAAAGTTTGGGAATTTCGCCCCAAAAGGTGGGGAATTCTGCTCCCCAAAAAGTTTGGGAATTCTACCCAAAAAGGCTGGGAACCCTCCCTTCACCTGTCCCCAGAAACTTGGGAATTCTGTCCCCAAAGTTTGGGAATTCTGCCCTCACTCACCTGTGTCTCTCCCAGATCATCTCCAGGGAATTTCCCGCCGGGATCCTCCTCCAGGACCCCCCTGTGACAGGGATTTGGGATCAGGAATTAGGATTAGAATTTTGGGATCAGGGATTTGGGATCAAGAGGACTTGAGATCAGGGGTTTGGGATCAGAATTTTGGGATCAGAATTTTGGGATCAGAATTTTGGGATCAGAATTTTGGGATCAGGGATTTGGGATCAGGAGTTTGGGATCAGGGGTTTGGGATTGGGGGGATTTGGGATTGGGGATGTGGGATCAGGGATTTGGGATTAGAGATTTGGGATCAGAATTTTGGGATCAGGGGTTTGGGATCAGAATTTTGGGATCAGGGGTTTGGGATCAGGGATGTGGGATCAGGGGTTTGGGATCAGGGGTTTGGGATCAGAATTTTGGGATCAGGGATTTGGGATCAGGGATTTGGGATCAGGGTTTGGGGGGCTGAGCACTCACCTGGCGCTCACCTGGGGGCAGGTGAGTCGGGATCCGCGGGAAGGGGGAACGGGAGGATCCTCTGGGAATGAGGGGAGGGGTCAGGGAGGGGCTCGGGGACCCCCTGGGGGATCCAGGACAGGAGACCCCGGGACAGGTAAATCCCCCCAGGGGACCCCAGGACAGGTAAATCCCCCCAGGGGATCCCAGGACAGGTAAATCCCAAAGGGGATCCCAGGACAGGTGAATCCCCCCAGGGGATCCCAGGACAGGTAAATCCCCCCAGGGGATCCCAGGACAGGTAAATCCCAAAGGGGATCCCGGGACAGGGGACCCCTCCCAGGTGACCCCAAGCTCAGGTGACCCCAAGCTCAGGTGACCCCCCCAGGTGATCCCAAGTTCAGGTGATTCCCCCCCAGGTGATCCCCCCCAGGTGCTCCCAGGGCGGATCCAGAGGGTCCCACCTCACCATCGAATCCCAGGAGATCCCCGAGCACGTCCTCGACCGAATCTGGGACAGGACACGGACCAGGTGAGCCCAGGTGGGACCAGGTGAGTTCAGGTGT